TGTTCCCATCGTAAGAATTCTTTCTCAAGCAGTCCGGCCTTCTGCCAGCCTTCCCACTGGTTCTGGGGTAGCTTGGAACCAAACTCGGAGCTCTGGATTCTCCCTTCCAGCTGGGATGCAGAAACTGGTCTTGTTACTAAGTGAATCTGAAATGCAGAGCCTTGGCTTCAAAATAGCGTAAACAATTTTAATTATTTTGTTTGTTTGTTCAACATAACGAGTTTCCCTGTCCTCCTTTGTGTTTTGGCTATAAGATTCTAAGCTAAGAATTGTTCCAAGGTTGCAGTTGCTATGGGTCGTTCTTTGTTGCTGGCCTCAACCAGGTTTCCCCAGTGGCTAGAGCTAGGTGTGGGGCTGAGCAAAACGCAGCAGAGCTGTAGACAATGGGCAGGAGTCAGGCCCCACAAGGGACAACCGGAAGTCCCTGGAACCATTTCTCAGTGACCCAATGACCACATTCGAGCAGTGCTTCTCTGGCTCTCTGTCTTAAACTACATGCATTTATTGAATGGTAGTGACTGGCTCCTAGGTGTCATCTTAGGGCTGCAGTGATTAGGCATCCTCGTAGGGTCCCTGGTCCTGGAGCAGGTCAGCTGGTCACACCAGGCCCAAGTGGCTTCTGACAGATTTTACTGCAGCAGCCAAGGGCCTGGCAGCCTGGACCAGGGTCTTACTCCTGAACGCATGTGGGGAGACTGGGGAGTACTTCTTGTGCGTGCTATGATTGCAGTTGTGCGTTTATGGTTATCGCTGGCTTTCCTTCTGAGTACTGCCAGTGGAGGCGACAGCAGGCTGAACATGGCAGTTGTTTGAGAAGGGGAAACCCTGCCAGAGAACACCAGGCCCACTTGGTTTTATGTGGCTGCAGCTGTGACTCTTACATATGTGGAGGGTTTAAAATGAGAGGATAGAGAACAGGAAAAAGTTAATTCCTTTTCTGAAAAGGTAAATAGCGGACAGTTTACTGCACTTACCAACTTTTCTCACTTAACTGATACGTGCGTATGTATTTTACAGTCAATATAATGTGTTTTTTGGTGTGGCCATTCAGCCTTTTTTGTATTTAGTTTGAGACGGGGTCTCTGTGTTGCCAGCTTGCTCAGGCTGGGCTTGAATTTGTGTTCCTTCTGCCTCAGCCTCCCAGAGTGCTAGGATTACTGGCATCACCACTCCTAGCTCCATTCTTGATTTTTAAGATTTCAGCTCACTTAGACCCAGATCTGAATTAAAACGATGCTAGTTTATTCAATGGTTGAATAGTGTTCATTCAAATTAATGAATTCTGGGAGGTCCGTTAAATGTGAGGTGCTTTGTGTTGTCACATGGAGGCCATGTTAAACTGTATATCACCCATTTCCTTCTCTAAGTGAACTTGTGATAGTGGCTTTTGCAGGCTCACTAGGAAAACTCCAGTACGTGTATGTGATGATATATGATCTTATCCTAACTCAATAAGCACTCTTACATTCTGGGCTCCATGCTGAGTGCTTGCCTCATTGTGACGCCTCATCCACTCCTCTCTCAAACCCAGTGAAATTGGTGCCCAGTGGAGGAAACCTAGACACTAACAAGGCTAAGTTCCGTGCTAAGGGTTAAAGCCTTAATAAATGATAGCAGGATTTGGTCCCAGCCAAACTTTTGTGCTCAGGCGGTGCTTCTGAGTGCTCACAGCACAGCAGTCCCATTTGCTAGTGGGGCCTGCCGGCGTGCAGGACAACCTGGTTATCACACTGAAGAGGGCACCTGCAGGATTCTGGGCAGCCCTGCAGGGGGCAGGCTCTTCCCCACATTTCTCTCTTTTTCAGGTGATTTCAGCCCTCCTGTGTGAACCCACCCCAGTGTGGCAAGAATTGAGCCCACCTTGTTGGCAGCGTCTTGCCGCACTGGTTCAGTGGGCCCTCCAGGTGGTCAACTCTAAGGCACATAAGGAAATGCTGCAGTGCATACAGAATCTCCGCCTGAGGCACATACGCATGCAGCTTTATATCCCTGTTATTTTCTGACTTTAATATGTGTATATTACTCTTCTGGGGCGATTTGTCTTCACAATGATACAGGTGCTTGTAGGCTGTAATGATTTTCCCCACCACCTTTACTCATCCTTTGGCCAAACAGAATAAATGTTCAGTGCTTTTCATCTTTCTTTATGAAGCGGAAGGCACTGGGATGCAGTCATTTCTGTGGTGGCTTCTGTGGTTTCTTAGGTGCTGAGTTCTGTGGTGACACGATGCCGTATATTTTAAGAGGGAGAGAGCATGGCAGGATGAGAAGGTGAAACCTTGTTGATGTAGAATGATGTGGTGGGAAATTTAACAGCCACAAAGATTTCCTGGCTGTGTCTAAGAAAACAGCTATCATCTTTCAGTGAAGTTTTAATATGTAATACTCGGGTATGGAAAATATTTAATGGTCTTCCTGTGTCAAACTTCTAAAGCCAGTATCTTCTGATGTTTTTATTTCTCTTCCCATGAAGTCGTTGAGAGTTTGCAGAATGAAGTCTTTTTAAGTGGTCATTACAGCTTTTGTGATCTTTTGAGTTTCACACTGTCCACAAATTTGCTACACATACATGTCCTTTGTTAAGCAAATATTAGATGCTGAGTTGTGATAGGGTTTGTTTATTAAATATATCTTATCAGAAACAGCTTGACTGCTAAATGTTAGGGAGTAAATAGCAAGACAAGAGCATCAAGAAAATTATATGTATCTTTCGGTGTCTCAGTTCTGCTGGTAAGGGATACCTGTGAATACCAGTTTGGACACTGTTGGCTCACGAGCTCAGGTAACTTTCTTCTGGGGATGGTCTGCCCTGTGGGTTGTAGGTTGTTAGCAGTGTCCCTGTAGGAGGTAACTGCTCCCTCTCAACAACCAAGAATATCTCTAGGTGTGGTCAGATTTCTGGGGTGTCAGGGTGAGGGGACAGAATCGGTCCCTGTTTATAACCGCTACAATATACCATTCCCCTAACTAAATTTGCAAATAATGGGAAATTTTGAAGACCAGCAAAGACTATTATAGCCTCCTAGAGAAACTTTGTTTCAATAATTGCATGGGGATTTTTTTTTTTCAAAGGAAGAAAGATACTAATAAAAGATTGTCTTTAGAAGTTAAGCACAGAGAGCCAGGGATTTAGCTCAGTGGTTCCCGTGCCTGCCTCACAAGTGCAAGGGCCCGAGGTTCAATCCCCAGTACTAAAAAAAAAAAAAAAAAAAAAAAAAAAATGCACAGAAAGGACTAAGTTTTATATATTACGGCTTATGTCTAGATGTCCCTCCAAAGCCTCATGCACTTGAGGGTGGGGCTTTTCTGAGGCGACTGACTCTAGAGTGTGTGATTGATTCATGGTGCAGTGCTAGGCTCAAGGGCACTGGATTAAGGGTGTGAGTACTACCTGCCCTAAGTAGTCTGGGTAAAATAGGATAGAAAGCTGTGGTCACCCCTTGTTGCCTTTGTGTATTTTGCTGCCATGAACTGCTCCCCCCTGCCATGTACCACCCTGCCTTGGAGCCAGTCAGTTCTGGACTGAAGCCTATAAACTATGAGCTAAATAAACACTTTTGCCTTTAATTTGGGCTTTGGGTATTTTGTCTCAGCAAGAAGAGTAAGGTAACTAAGATACAAAGAGTATCACAAGTTGAACCTCATGGTTCTATAACACCTATTTTCCTAGACTTGGCTGCATACAGCCTCTTGCATGTGCTGTTCTCTGGAAATCACCAACAGTGCCTTACTGATCTTTGTTGTAACCTCTCTTACCACCCTGTAGAGCAGTTTGAGATCACCAACTAGGCATTTCTTATTGATCACAAGCAGACCCCAGCAAGCCCTCCCTTTGTGACTTTGAACAGTTGAAGTTTTATTGGAGGAAGGGCCACCAGCAGCTCCTGGGATGGGCTTGCTTCTCACTGTACTATTTGGCCTGGGTGCTGGCTTTGTGATGGGTCCAGGAGAATGTACTATACCTTTGATGGGCAGAGTTTGCAGGCTTGTTCTTATTTCTCTCTTGCCTTCCTCAGACATTCTGTAGTATTCTTGCATGGTCAGTTAGTGACAGGTGAACACTTTCTTGTGTAAGTTGCTGCTCTCTTCCCATTCTGTGAGCCTTTCAGTTGAAGCATTTATCTGTATGATTGCTTTATTCCATTGCCACTGTTTTGTGACATCCAGAGCATCAGTTGCATGTGTGCTGAAAAAGACATTCCTTGATTTTGAAAGTGGATAGAATCAGAGGCTGTTACCAGGGATCAAACTCAGGATCTTGTGCTTGCCGGGCAGGCACAGCACCAGTGAGCTAGATCCCTGGCCCATGAACACATTTTTTGAGTGGTATAATTATCAGTTCTTATTGTTGGTGTCTCCACCTCAATTAAGCACTTAGTAAAGGGAACCTGATATAGCGAGTTTGATCAGAAATTTGCCTCATGTCCAAGATACTGTTTTTAAGCTAATGACTATCCTATCTTTAGCACAGAAGTGATGATAATGAGTAAAATGCTTATTGATGTGCTGTATTCCATTTTGGAGATACGGTAGTTATATTGAAATTTTTCTGGCTCTTTTTTGGAGCTAAGTTCAGGCTACCTCAGAAACTCACACAGAAATTTTCCCTCAGGGTATGCTGGAAGAGGAGCAAGATGTTGATGATAAAGTGAGACCTTTCAGGAATATTTCTAGAGCAGCCCTAATAACTGAGACAAGAATTAACTTGAGGGCTGGGGATTTAGCTCAGCGGTTTGGTGGCCTGCCTTGTAAGCGCAAGGACCTGAGTTCAATCCCCAGTACCAAAAACAAACAACAACAACAAAAAAAAAAGAATTAACTTGAGAAGGCAGGAAAAGAAAATGCTTTTTTCTCCTGTGAATCTTAGTGTTTTGTGTGGTGATGGTAGAGACCTGAAAGCCTATTCTAATTTGCTTGTTTTCCCCAGTGCATGATGTAAAGGTATTTTAAGCTGTCTTGTGACCAAAATAATGGAAATAAAATTTTTATTTTCACTGCAGGAGGTGGAAAAAACTTGAGAAACACCTGAAGCTTGAAGACGACTCAGAGGAGAGTGATGCGGAATTTGATGAAGGTTTTAAAGTACCAGGTTTTCTGTTCAAAAAGCTCTTTAAGTATGTACCATATGTTCTGTCCTTTAAGTTTGTCATTGAGTGATTGTGTACAAATTAATATTTTAGGAATTACATGGTAGTTACCTATGGGCCATTAAGGTACTTGCAACAATTTATTGCAAGTAGAGGCACTGTCAAATGAAATTTTAGCCACATGCTGTTCATTAAAATTAGATGATAATAAATTGACCAAAGTGAGCATTGGGTATGTTTGTAAGGCAGTGAATCTGTATGGACCTGTCTCAGCAGACTAGAAGCAATGCTTTTAAAAGCATCTCCATTAAATTTTGTTGTTGTTGTTTGTAGTAATTTTAAGGGACCAGACCTCTAATTTCTTACGTCAGATTAATAGTTATATATTAAAATCAATATCAAGAGTTGTATATCAAAATCAAACCTCAAGAAGGTTTTCTTTTTTGTTTTGTGTCTCTAAGTGGAAATACAAAATTGTTGAGATTTTTTTCTGCATGCCTTATATTGTACTTCTGGGCATACTTTTGAGCTGACCAAACATGGATCTAAACATTTTATATAGATGTCATTCTAATGTCAGAAGAGAGGACATAGGCAACACCTTGAGGATCACATTGCTATTTGCAGCTGACTTAAGTATGTAAAGTGCTGAGGGCTGCGGGTGACTGGATACTTGCCTGGTAGACACAGTCTCCGTCTGTATTGGCCAGGAGAGTGTTCAGTAATTAATGTAAATACTGAGGAACATTTCCAGTCTTCTCACTCCTGGGATTTGCTTAACAAGATGCTTTTGGGAGGCTTCTTAGATGTATGTAGTAAGTTAAACCATTACATAGCTTCTTTCTGTCTCTTTCATATCAGCAATTCATTGACAGTTGAGAACAGGATGCAGACTTCTTTTGTGATATGATTTAAGTTTAATTTCCTTTATGGATTTAGATGTTAGCCATACATAAACTTTTGAATGATGTCCACTTAAAAATAGCACGCTCTTTATATTTCCTGTTCAAGGACTTATGTACATATATAAAATATACACACACAGTTTTTGTTTTGTGTTGCTGGGTATGGAAGTAAGACCTCATGCATGCTAGGCAAGCACTCCACCTTTGAGCTGTACTCCCAGCCCTATATCATAGTTTTAATTTCTGTATCTCCTGGGAGGAATGGGGAAGGTAAAGAGTAGTTATTTTATCCTCCTAAACACATAGCAAAGCTGAACCCTAGAGATGTAAATCACCTAGGTTGGGTGACCCTAACTGGACAAAGGATGAACTGTGTAGAAGGTAAAATCTAAATCTCTAATAATTTCTGCAGATAAATCACTTCATAGCCTAGAGAGGTAGTTGCTTTGTTTATTGCTTCTCCCAAATGAAAATTAACTGTGGAAAGGTAAATAAAGACAACATTTATTGGCAACTCTTTCTATTTTCTCTAAAGTAATTGCCCATTACAGACCAGGGCAAACAGTATCAGTCTTGTACTAGCAAAAAGAAGGAATACTGAAATTGTAGATTTAATTGATTTGACAAAGTCAGGATACTTCTGCATGTGTAGTGATTTGGCAGATATCCTCAGGAGTTAGATTGAATGTGCACTTTTGAATAAATATTCAAATTTCTGGCAAAGAAATTTCAGAATTAATAGAACCAAACTTTGCTTGCTAAGAGGTCATTGGAGTTGGTGTTAATATACTATTACTTTGGTCTGGGGATTTAGCTCAGTGGTTCCTCCACCTGCCTTGAAGTGCAAGGTCCTGAGTTCAATCCCTGGTACCCCCCCAAATATATATGTGTATAAAATATATAACATAAATATATATATAATATAACAAGTTAATATAATATAGAGTAGTATAATATATATAAAATATATATGTATACATCAGAGTAGCAGTGTGTGTAGTTGCTCTGATGTAGTTAACATAAATACATGTTCATGTTTCTAATTAGCCTTACACTTGAAAAGTATGTTGTTTACAAAAATAGGATTTTAAATATTTTATAAATGTTATGAAACTTTTGTATAGAAAGATTAATAGGATGTCTCTCTTTTTCTTTAACAATTATGCTTTAATCAGGCCAATTAACTTTTAAACTGTAGATATATTTTTACTGTATTCAGTATACTCTCTGGAATTGAATTAACAGGGCATAGAGTTGTACACAGTGGAGTCAGAGGTACAGTTATCCATTCAAATGCTATTTTTTATGAGATAATGTTTAACTTCTAAATTTCTGTTTTGAAAGTTTGCCCAGTAAATGCATTCATCTGTATAATTTAGCAATCACATGAAAAATTTCAGTCTTTTGACCTTCCTTTCAACCAAGCTTACATGCAGTGCATGTGACAGTGCCAAAATACAATTACTGTGGTTACTTTGTGCTGCTTCTCCAGTCCCATGAGAGTAGTGGAGTAATTTCCTTATAGCTGTACAATAGTTCGGAAGAATCTTTAACTTTTTCTTAAGTAAATTTTATAGGTTTCAAAAAGCAGATTCTCCAGCCTGTTTTCATTTCAACTGTGTGATTGTTTTTCAGTGTTTATTTTTAAGGAAGGTAAAGCAATAAAACCAAAGCCAATTAGTAGTGCTGTTGGAGCCAGAGTCCAGACCCTTGTGTCCCTACTGACCAAGGTGGATGGGTAGGCTTTAGTGTGTGGGGGTGAATTTCCTTCACACGTAGCCTGAGGTCCTCCCTGTGCTGGGGGTGGCATGGTGGTGCTGTGGGGGGAGAACCAGCCACCCTGCACCCCGCTGTTACAGATTTCCATGGGCCAACACAATTTACAGGGTTGTCTAGTTGGTCTGTTTCTTAGGTCATTTCTTTAGTGCTGCTAATCTTGTAAACAAATCGTGTGCCATTGCAGGTTAGGCTTGGAGATGTTGTAACATTCAGTACACTATACTGCTTTGCCACAGTCACATAGAGTCCTGTGTCCTAGCTCCCAGTATCCCAGTCTCCTTGGAAACCATACTGGTTACAGTTCCTTTCACAGTTTCTTAATTGCCTCTTTCCAAATTCTTTCCACCATAATTAAATTTGGGCTCCAAACAGAGAGGTATTAGCTGTATTGGGTGGAGGTAGTGCAGTGCAGTGTGGTGGTAGAAGTGAGGGCCTTCAGAGGAGGTTCTGGTCCCTGAAGAGCTCTTCCATAGTTCTTCTGTAGGTCCATTGCAGTGATTCAGAAACTGAGTGCACATCAGTTTTGGGTAAGCATTTTGGAATATGTCTTTTTCAGAAGTTGAGATGATTTCAGGGTAACCAGATCACACACTAGCTTCTATCCCAGATCGGAGTTTTTCTAAAGCCTTGGCAAAATTGAGACTTGGGGCCACATAATTTGTTGCTGTGGGGACTGTCCACTTCATTGTAGAGTTCTTTTTTTTTTGGTACTGGGGATTGAACTTGGGTCCTTGCGCTTGCAAGGCAGGCCACCGAACGGCTGAGCTAAATCCCCGGCCCCATTGTAGAGTTCTGACAGCAGAGCTGCCCTCTGCAGTCTGGATCCCACTAATGTTGCCCAGTTGTAACAAAACTGTCCTTGGATGTTGCCAGATGTCCTGTAGGAGCAAATTACCCCAGTGACAATTCCTGGCCTAGGTTTTTTTCCAGAGAAGAATCACTGTGGAATCAAACAGTCTGGATTTCAGCTCCAGTCTGTTCAGTTTTGCTAGCACTGTGACCTGGGGTGAGCTATTTAATGATGTGAGCCTGTGTTCTCTAGCTGTAAAATGTGCTGATCACTGCCTCTGCAGGTTGGTTGGGAGGCTGTGTTCAAACCCCCTGGTGCAGTGCCTCCTATCAGTGGACTTCTTAAGTGGTAGCCGTTACTCCTGATTACATTCCACATATTTATGGGACTTGCCCTTCCCAAATTAAATGCTCTTATATCCATAGTAGGCTTTTCAGTGTTTTGATTTCTAGTCCTTTTCTCCAAAGTGCATCTCCAGTGTATAATTACAATTAGCAAACTTAAGCAGCAAAATTCTGTTTTCCTTGTGTATAATAATGGCAACAGCTAGAATCAAACTTGTAGAATTGATTTGCAAAACACAAAGGTACAGTTAATTATGACATATTTGCCGGGAGAAATTAGCTCAGCAAGAGCTGAGGTCTAAAATGAGGTTTTATGTAGACATACCAGATACCAAATAGTAATTTTTTGGTCAGTAATACAGCAATAATAAACCCACCTTTCTTGACAGCGGGGATCTCATTACTTACTCTTGGTGTCTTGTCAGGGAGGGAGACCTTTTAGCTTGTATCATCTTTTAACTTGTGGTATTGCTTTAGTTTTTAAATATTGCATGTAATCTTCATATCATTCTATAATATTGTCTTTCACTGTCAAAAGTGTTTTTGCATTATTCCTTTTTTTAAAAAAAACCTTTGCTTTTAGATTTATAGATTGAATGCATTTGATAGAAAAATGAAAATACCATTCCTATTTTTTGAGGAGATACATTATTTCTCTTTGACCAATATTCCTTATTTAAAATTTTAATAGCTCTGATCTTTTTCTACCTATGATAAAATCCCTGAATCAATTTCTGTTTTAAAATATTAAAAAGACCTTTTGTATTGTTGAGTCCTTTCTTCCTTTTTGCATATCTGCTAGTAATGTGCCAGAATTGTCTTTTATGTACTAATGTGGAGAGCAGCCCTTCAGACTTGTTTATGGCCTTAAAATTTAATTTAACTTTTCCTATAAAAAGATAACCTGATTACTAAGTGACAATAGTAGAAGCTATAAATTGTGTTCTCTCTTGCCTTTTTAATGCTAAGATTGAATAAAATACATATAGTGCCTCTTTTTTGTAGAAAAAATTTTGGAATTCTATATAATAAAAATATTTGGAATTTTTTCCCAGAAAGAGAGTGAATAAAAGATAATAAGTTTATGCTTGTTTGCCATGCTATTTCTAATGTTGAAAAAGAAATGAAATAGTCCCTAATTACCCCATCTATCAGTTTAATTAGAAATGTGTTAACGTTCTGTAAAGAAAAATTTGTAACTTTATGCCTAGGTGATCAAAAATGTATGACCTTATAAATATAATACTCATGTAAAACACACATCCGGCACATTTTTCTGATTGGTGCTAGAACCTAGCCAAATGATTAATTCATGAGTGCTTTCGTTATGATCTGTATTATCCACCATTTGCCATTTTCTCTTTTCTTGTTGGTGTTTGTTGTTGTAGGTACCAGCAGACAGGTGTTAGGTGGCTGTGGGAATTGCACTGCCAGCAGGCAGGAGGAATTCTGGGAGATGAGATGGGATTGGGCAAGACCATCCAGATAATTGCCTTCTTGGCAGGTCTGAGCTACAGCAAGATCAGGACTCGCGGTTCAAATTACAGGCAAGTGCTTCTCTGCAGACTGTCAGTCTGTGGAGCTCAATTAATATTTCATCAGATGTATTGCTGTGGAGGAGGGTCTTGTGAATTATTGATGACATTTCAATTACAATATTCCTTTAATTCTTTTAGTGGGGGACATCAAAGGAAAAATTTTACGAGACAATGGAGCTGTAGGGCAGGAGAAATTAAACATGTAACACTTTTAATGAATTCCAGGCATCGATGCTTCATTTTGCAGATGAGCCCCACTAGATATTTTGGGTCAATACAATGTCTAAGGTTAGCTCTTGCAAATGGATTGTTTACAAACTCAATTATGTTAATATCAATAGTTTACACAATATGGAATTTTAAATTAGACATAATACCTTTAGTTCCATTTATTAAATTTTACATTAAAATATTTGTTTTGGCAGGAGACCAGGTGAGCATTACAATAAGAACAAAGTCTATTCAGGGGGAAAGTTGGAGCTTTGAAGAAGCCATTCTGCCTAATTTCCTTCATAGTCAGAGTGCGAGACAGCATCTGCAGAGAACACTCGGGTTGCTTTTTTTGAATGAAGTTACTTCTCTGCTCACTATGCCTTCAGCTTCCCTCTGAGTCTTTAACTTTTATATACATTCTAAGGCTAAAGCCTAAATGACTGTCTAAAATAATAGAAAACTACGTTTAGATTTTAATTCTTATTTTCTATAAAAGTTTAAAAAGTTGTTCAGACCTTGGTTTGCCCAAAAAGTGAACATTGTCTGTTGCGTATGGTAGCACTGAAATTACTTGACCTTGAAATAAAGAACCTTGAGCATTTCCATTCTTAAACTGTACATTAGTTTTATGGAAACCTGTATTAGTAGAAATATTGTTAGTTGAATTATGTAGGATGTTTCATCTTGAACCCAGATAATACCAGACTTTTTCATGTTTCAGCAGGCTTATCCCATAGGTGACAGCAAGGTAGCTACCAAATGGCTGTGTCCTGGGAACCTTGGACACTCACTGAATAGGGCAGTGGTGGCGAGCCTATGGTATATGTGCCACAGTGGGTTATTTGTATCATTGAAAGCTCTAAAAGGCTCACCATCACTGCATAGGATCTGGAGAGGCCTGAAGATGAGAGCCCATGTGCCTAAAGTGAGTGACTGAGAAAAGTTACCATTCCACACTCAGGTCAACGGAGATGTTTAGTACAGAGCCAAATAGCACGGAAAATTGTTGATAAAGACCATTAATTTTGGTCTTCAGAGTTTAGTGCTTTGCTTCTGTTTCTTACTCTTTCATTCACTTAGCAGATCATAAGTATTTGAGTTTTAAAATACTTCCAAAGTCTTAGGTGCATTTATATAAATGTAGGAGTGGGGAAAAAACATTGAGATTTTCATATGCTAAATATTTTGTTGTTTTTGTTGTTACAGAAATGTTGTATTGAAGCAGAGAATTCTCTTCAAATATTAGTGTTTTCTTACATTTTACCTGGAAATACATGAAAACACTCTAGCCCAAGGCAAAAGTTAAAGTTGAAAAATGAGCATTTATGGTGTTGTCTATGAATGTCATTAGTTTTAGTATTTGAAAAAATGTTAAGTTTTTTGTAGACTTGGTCTCAGAGACTTTTTTTTTTAATGCAACCTAACACTTTTTTTTTTTTTTAAGTAAATAGGCTGGCTCAGATGGTTCCTAGGACTGTCTTTCCTCAAATGATTTCTGGGATTTTCTCATTCCCACCTCTTTCTTCCTTACCCTTCCTGTCATCAAGAAACTTGCATGGAGTCTAATTCTCTGGGCCTAAGAAACCTGAAGTCATCCCTGCAGTGTAGTTGTGATCTAAAAATTAAAACATGCTCTCTCGAGTGATGACAGTCCTACTAGGAGCAGATCAGGGCTAAGAATGAGCATCAGCTGTAATCAATTAACTATCAATGCTCATATCCTCTTTTCTGTAATGAAATAGTGTGGGACATTGGACTAGTTCCCAGATCATCTTTATTAAAATGGTACTGGTAGAAGTGGCTTTTGAGAGTATGGTGATGTATCAGCCAAACAACTGGGCTCTTTAGGAATGGAGGTGAGCTGCGGGGCTTGACTCCCTCCACTTAATGTGGCCCAGCAAACTGAGTAACACTTTCCTAACAGTCTGGAGCCAGATGAACTTGGAGTTCTCTTCTGGGTTTATGTCCTAAAGAAAAATATCCCTTGAAGTCAGATCTATTCTTTGTGAACTGGCATTGCCTCATTGGCTGTGAACTTTCCCTCTGAACAGTTGTGTGCCATAAATGTTTGGTCTCTAATTTGATATGGTCTTAGTGTTGCAGTTTTAAGGTCCATGAACATATAGTGTAAGTTTCTGTGATACTAAGAAACTTCATGGTATAAGAAATTTGGTTTATAGCCAAGCATAGTAGCACACAACCTGTGTTCCCAGCTGCTTGGGTGAGGAAGGAGGATCATAAGTTTGAGGCCAGCCCTGACAGCTTTGCAAGACTGTATTAGAATAAATGGCTGGTGGTGTAGCTCAGTGGTAGAATGCTTTCCTACCATACATGAGGCTCCGGGTCCAAAGCCCATTACTGGGGAAGTTTGGTTTATTGTTCTTGTTTTTAATGTGTGTGGTAGACCTGTTTATTTTCAGAAGAGAAGCAGGAGAGAAATCTTTATGGTTGTTGTGTTCCCAGTTCATAATGAATATCTTGCCCCTTTTTACTTTGCCATTATTATAATAATGGGCCCCATGAAGTTTATGATGAGGGGAAATGAATTATTTATCTTAAAAATTCCAGTTAGTACTTTTAGTGTCTTGGTTAGCGTTTTAGTTCATTTCAATTTAAGAATAAATATTCTGAAAATGTTAATAAGCTTTCCAGGGTACATATGCTTTGCAATTCCTGGTTAAGTTTCTAGGCTGCAACCAGCTGGTTTCCACGTGCAGGTTTAAGTTATTTGGTTGTGCAGCTACTAGTATTTCCTAAATTCATTAGGTAATCAATGATTATCAAAGATGAAAGGAACTGGAGTCTGTTTGGTAATTGATGCTAATCACTCTAGTACATTTAGCCATTTCTTAGGCTTATCTCACTGGTATTGAGGTTAGAAAAGGGCGGTTCAGTGGATGTGACTGTTAATGGGTTTGATTGCCCCTTCTGTGGTCCAGGAACAATCTGTCTCGCTCTGAGATTTCAACTCAGCGTGAAAATCTCCCTGTGCTTCTAACAGAGGGAGAAAAGCAGAAATAAAAGGGCATACTAATACCAGATAGATGTGCAGCCAGAAGAAAATAGTGGCCTTAAATGATGAAGTGTGAGTCACCAGTGTCACAGCTTGCAGAGGTAGAGAGAGACAGAGACAGAGTGAGTGGTGCAATCTGAAAAAGTATATGATGCTTGGAAGCTCCCGCCACTGACTGCTAGCCCATTTGTGAGATTTGGGGGCTCAGGGTCACCCTCCCCAGTGTCAAAGCTGGTCATCTTTCTGGTGGCAGCAGGATGGTTCCTGGAGGGTCCCCACCATCTGCCCAGAGGTAAGCAGATAGGACCATGGGCCCTGGCAGAAGCTCCTGGGGCCCTCTGGCCCTGTCTCCAGAGGGCAGAATGGGTGGCAGGAACAGCAGAGCCCTGCCCAGGTGCCTTCTCTCGTTCTTCCCAAGTTGGGGATCTTCCTTTTTAGCGCTGAATTTTTGAAAACTGTCAACCAGATTTTCTCAAGACTGCTCATTCCTTTCTTCCCCTGCTGAGTGGGTGTGGGGGTGGTTTGAGTTTTACCCATCATTTAAGTTTTTTTCTAAAACTCTGCAATTGATATTTGTTACAAGAGGGGATTTTGGGGGGTGGTAAGGAATGCCTTTATGCTTTTTCAAATGAAATTTCTTTCTTTTCTTTTTTTTTTTGTTTGTACTGGGTATTGAACTCGAGACCTTGGGCTTGCAAAGCAGGCTGCAGAATCACTGAGCAAAATCCCCAGCCTTGAAATTTCTTTTTGTGTATATTTACCAAGAAAGATATAATTTAGAATTTGGTTGTATTTTTTTTTTAAGTTTTTAAAAAGGGTTCGTTCATTTTTCTAACTTTACCAAAGTTTGCAGCGAATACTTCAGTAGACCCAGGGATGTTTAAATCACATAACTGCAGACAGACTGAAGCAATGCTATTTTTAAAGGTATTTTTTTTTCTTATTAGATTGTTAGTGTATTAGGGAAGAAATAACAAAATTCTTTGTAGGCTTTTTCCAAAGTTCAGTATTCTTTGTGCAGATTTTAGATTCTCAGAATAAATGTTTTTCACAGATTTAAAAAAAAAGAGGTATGTGATGAATTCTTGCTTATCTGAATGTCTTGGTTTTAAAATATTTTGGATGGCTTTTGATTGGTTGTTCCCTCATCTCTTCTATGTAAATACTGATAACTCTCTTGTAGAATTACCCTTGGAGGGTATAAATAAGCTGGTTCATCTAATCCTTTTGAAAAGGTATGCCATCATGGAAGGAGCCAGGGGCCAGAGCAGAGTACCCCTCTCCTTGGGGAGCTGAGGGCCTCTGCCTTGGAGATACTTTTGACCTGGACATCTGTAGGAATTGTTGAATCTTTTTGGCTGCTGGCTTCTTCTGGTGCCACCCTTGCTCCCAGCCAAGGGCCAGGGGCTGTGCCCATGTAGAAGGAGATGGAAGCGTTGTTGGTGGACAGAGTCATCTTGATATGCTGGAGTATAAGGATGAGACTCCTTTCACTTAGGGCTTTGTCAAAGCCTCGATGTTTTTTCTGTTGGAACCACCAGTTAATTTTCCTTTGTATAGCAGATAATTTAAGTTTAAGCACTAATTTATTCTGTATACATATTAAGTTCATCATTTATTGAGCTGTAGCAGGAAATAAAAAATCACACATGATCCCCAAACTCAGAATAATTTCTTTGAACATTTTGACATATTTTACCCCAACCTTAAAAAAAAAAATGTTAGCACATGACAATACTCATTTCTTACCTGCTGTGCTCAGAAGGAGGTAGGAGGTGTGACAGGGATCCTGACTGGCCTGGGTGCACCGAGGGAGGTCTCTTCAGGAAGCTGTGGTCTGGAGGACAAATCAGTGGCATCCGGGAGGGCCAGAGGTAGAGGAAGTGACAGCTGGACTCAGAGGACCGTGTATCTCTTGGGAACTGAGGACTGTTCCAGCTGGCTCAGTTCTAGCTCTGGCAGGTACTGAGGGTGGCAGTGAGAGGATGAAGCTGGGACACGTAAAGGTCAGCCTCCAGGTCTCTCAGGCCAGGGCAGGAGCTGTGGGCAGCCAGTGGAGGTCTTAGAGTGAGAGGATGTGACATCAGTTTTTCTCTTAGAGATGATTGTGCTTGAAGGTTGCTGTGACACAGATGAGAGTTGGAAATGGTTGGAAATGGTGTTGAGGGGGGGACTGGTGGCTTGCAGAGGGACTGAGGAGGTGGAAGTCACGGTAGTTTGGTGCAGGTTATTCACAGAGGAAAGCAGGAGGGCTGATCATGGGGCAGGCCTGGACTTCAGTTTGGGCCGCAGAGAGTGGTGATGCTTGTCATTGGATTGGGAAGTGAGGAAAGGTGGGTGACGTGCTGCCCAGGATATATCTCCATCAGCACTGAGATGTGCAGGGAGGGAAGCTTGGGGTTCAGGAAGATCTGGCCAGGCTCAGATTTAGCATCCTAGGTGTTCACAGAAAGTTGACACTGGGGATCAGTGAGATGGTGGGAGGAGTAATTCACATGCACTTTGTCTCACGAATTCATCATCCTTGTTGGCAGGAGGTAAGAGGGAAGGAAAAGATGGTTTAGAGCATTGCTGTTGGTGGCCTGCAGGGCCTCTTGGCCTCGGTTCCCAGCTGTGTCTTGTAGTGTGAGCTTATATTTTTGGAATTTTTGTGTAGTTGGTTTTCCCTTGTCCTTCATCTTCATCTTGAGCCGTGACTTGTCCTGATCCTTGGTCGTTGGGCTGTACGTACAGCAGGAAGGAACAAGAGAGAAGAGTCCCTCAGCCTGGTGTGTGAGCATTTCCGTCCGGTTTGTCAGTCCCACCGGCTGGTACCATGGACTGGCGTGCTGTGCACTGACAGGCTTGCTTGCGCCCATGCTGGTGCGCACCCTGACGGGGTGCGTGCTGGAGTGCGCAGTGGCTCTTGTGCACACAAGGCTCTACTGGGAAGGATGGAGAAGAGGTTGCTCATACAGTGCCCACCTGTGTGTCAGGGAGTTGGGGTGATTCCATTAATAATTTTGCTTTTAAAAGCTTTTACTGTGTTTTTTCCCAGCTTATTGCTCTTCAAAACAATTTTAGTGGTTATGAGATATTCCATCTTAATGAACTCTTTGCATTTACTGTATCACCATGCTCTGTAATTTAGTGTCCTAGTTACCCCATAAGGCCAGTACTGTAAACTGAAGGTGAGAAGTGGGTCCAGAGAGTTCAGATAATGGGCCCAAGAGCCCATAGTTGGCATGTGCAGGGCTGGGATTCGGACACAGGCTGTGCTAACTATTGGCCTGTGCTGGGATTTTGTTCAGCCCTTGCCATGTCTGGACATTTGGGGCACATCTGCGTTTCCTGTGGTGTAAGCAATGCTGCAGTGTGTGGCCTTTGCATAAGCGCCTGTCCTGGGGTGCGAAGTCCCTAGTGAGTTCTTGCAAAGCTCCTATTCAGTATGCTCAGCTGCCTCCACACACCATCCACATGGGCCCAAAAGCCATGGCATCACCCAACTGTGTTGTTAGAAGCAGCCTGCACTGAGTGGAGAAAGAGCAGGCTGCGAAAGCACTAGGCTCCCTTCTCGAAGTGCTCTGTCTCCTGGGGACTATGTCACCTTGTCACACCAGCTTCTGAGCCCTTGAATATGGGTGGAACTGTGTCTACTTGCTTTCCAGAGCAGTGGGGATGAGCTGAAATTCTGTGGGTTGAAAACTCCTGGCGGACCATAGAGCAATGTTATCAAACCTATGGCATGCATGTCACAATGTGCTGTTTATTGTCTTTGCAAGCTCTACAAGGTTCACCATTACTGCCATAGAGTTTAGACAAGTTTAAGATGTTATGTTCACTTAGGTTAAGATATACTGTATAGCAATATCACTAAGCTGGAATGGCAGGGGTGAGGAAAGTATTTGTTCTATACATATTTGTTTGATTTTCTTCTTTGCTATAGAATCTTTAATGTATTATTTGGTGTTTTCTCTTCATTCCTACATCCAGAAATTGGTGGACTTGTAGAGATTTTACTTACTAGGTTTTAACCTCATTAGCTTTTTTGTTAATGAAAACAAAAATATCAATTAGTTCTCATAGGTTGTATTTTTTTTTTTTTTTTTTTTTTTTTTTTTTACTTTTGAAAATGTCATCGTGTTTTTTTTTTTTTTTTTTTTTTTTTTTGGCACGGGGATCGAACTCAGGACCTTGTGCTTGTGAGGCAGATGGCACCACCACCGAGTTAAATCTCTGGCCCATGTATTTTCCTTTTTGAATTGTTAAGGGTTTTTGTTTTTTGTTTTTGGCAGCCGATCACCTGGTATGGGATTTTTCACAGTTGTGTTTTCTTCCTGGATATTTGGGTGCAGGTTCGAGGGACTGGGCCCCACTCTGATTGTCTGCCCAACAACAGTGATGCATCAGTGGGTGAAGGAGTTTCACACGTGGTGGCCTCCCTTCAGAGTGGCAATTCTGCATGAAACTGGTTCCTGTACCAACAGAAAGGTAACAGTATGATGCTTCAGTACGTCGCTTGTGTTTTGTTTAAACCCCTTCATTGTACATGTTTGCTTTTTCTTTGAACCATGAATTGGATATTCCCAAGTTTTGTTTTATGCATTTAAGCTTATTTTATAATTATTGACTTAATTTAGAGCTCTGTATCTTCACAATTACGAATACTGGCTTTGTTGTTCTAACAGTCCGTGGTGGCACTGTGACATGCTTGTTGTCTAGCAAGTCATAACTGAATGTGGACAGGGGGCCACACATTTGGGATCAGAAATCTAGTAACTTCTAGATTGTTAAATGGAGGGACCATGGGCATCAGCAGCTTGAAACAGCTTTAGGAAAGTGGATACAAAAAGTAATCTGTGGGTTGAACATCCCTAAATCCCAAAATCTGAAATGCTCCCCAGTCTGGAACTTTGTGAACCCTGACACACCACACCCAGTAAATCTACCTCTGACCTCATGTGATAGATCACAGTTAAAACACAGCATTATAAACCATAATGAACTTCATGTTTAAACCTGGGTCCCAGCCCTAGGATATCAGGGCACATCTAAACGCTGGGAAAATCCAAACTCTGAAGCAGTTTTTCAAGCATTTCAGATATAAAGAATACTTATCTGGTAAATGCATTTGTTAATATGAGTTTAAATCATATTCTTGACCAATGAAAGAAGCAGCTTGCTATTTTGAAAATTTTATAAATCTTACTGCTTTTCAGTTATGCTGCACTTTGTTCCTGAATCTTGGGTAATCATGTATTTAAAGTTGTTTCCTCCCTTATTCCTATTTTGGTTAGTAGCCACATTGTCAAAAACAACATTTACCTTTACTCCTGTGGGCAGTGTAGATAGGTATGTTACAAGTTTCTTCTCATCTGTCTCACCCACATAGACCACACTCTGAAGAGCAGGCCCTGTGTGTGACTGACTGCATCCCAAGTGCCCCCCAAGCATTTGTTGAATAAATAATATTTACACAGCTTCACCACAGGTTGCAGGTTGCTGACAAGAGGTGGCAGTTTGCTGTGAGTTCTTTTTTCCTGGGTTTTCTGAGCTCTCAGATGAGCTCTCCGGCACCTCAGGAAGCAGCAGCCACTGTAGGGACTGTGAAAGGTTTGTTCACCTGAGTGAGAGGTCTCAGGAACTGCTCAGGTCTGGAGTCTCCAAACTGTGCCTCTCTGCCTTTCAGTTTCCTGAATGTTCATGATCATGGGTCAGTAGAGTTTCTGACAGATTCAGAATTTCTGTGTCAGGAATATAGATACTTGGTAACACAGATAAGGTGAGGTGGAATCTTGCTTGTACTAGCTGTTATTGTTAAGACCAACTAACTGCCCAGAATTTTAAAAGGTAAGTAGAAAATGGTTAAGAGAATTAATGAAGTAGGGTGAGTGCTGTGATTTCCCTACTGCTCTTTTCCTATGATAAAGTATCTCAGATCTCTGTAGATGTAAGATATTACACAAAAGGTTGAGAAGAAGTGCTTTTGTGTCTTTTAAACTATATTGTTGGCTAAGAGACCAGATCACTGTATTATTTATTGTTAATGTTAGTAGCAGCTTTTATTTCTGGGGGTGATATATCTATATGTACAGATCTTTATCATCCTCTCACGCAGCTTACAAACATAGAGTGCAGTAGAGTCTATGTTTCTTATTCATGTTTCAGATAGTCCTTCAGTGCCGGTCTGTTCTGTAGGCCAGCATCTAATTCCAGGCTTCTTTTCCTCCCTTGTCAGCTGTGATTTCCTTTTCCAAGGGTGAGATTTCCATGCCCAGTGCTGTCCTATCTTAATTTAGTGTGGTGCTCTGGCATTAGGGACATATGGTATTGGACAAATCAAGAATGAGGAATTTCTCTTTAGAGACATTTAAAAGAGTAACAATGGCAATTGTTTTCCCTAAAATTCAAGTGGAATATTTTTATTTTCCTAATGCTTCATTGTAGTTGGTCAGACATAAAATTTCAAAAAGTTTTCATTTAGAAAGCATATGTCATATAATCAGCTTCTAAAATAGTGCACATCTATTATTTTTCTTTCCACAGTTGCATTTTAGCTTCCCCCTTTTCACCATTTAATACAGTACTAGGTTATCTTTGTTAATAAGCTCTTTGATTGGCACCATAATTTAGAATTATCAGATACACACTCAGCAACCATGCAAAAAACTATGTATCTAATAATAGTTTTACATGATCCAGTCTGGTAAAGAAATTTTTAAAATCCTTTAATGGCCAGTGGAAATCTCATGTAGTAGGATCTTAAGGTTTTTTTTTTTTTTTGGTTTTTTTGTTTTAGGCACTGGGGATCATACTCAGGACCTTGTGAGGCAGGCGTGACACCACTGAGCTAAATCCTGGCCCGGATCTTAAGTTTTTAAAATTTCTCATTGTGATTTGTGATCCGTTTTTTCTAACACAGAAAAACTTTTATGTGAGTTGATTAGTATTTGTTGAACAACTATAAAAGAATATTATAGATGTTTGATTTTTTTGTTTTGTTTTGTTTTTTGAGGCAGAGTCTCCCTTTGTAGCTCAGGCCGGCCCTAAACTCACTATGTAGCCCAGGCTGGTTTTAAACTCACAGTGATCCTCCTGCCTCAACCTCTGAATGCTAGGATTATAGACAAGTGCCTCCATGCCTGGCTCCATATGTTTGATACTGTTAGGTCTACAAAAAAATGTATATGATGGTTTTAACTAACCTTGAAAAGCCAACTGTTTTCTTAGGGAAGGAAAATATATGGAAAGATAATGAGAAGAGGCAGTCTTATATGCTTGTCCCATGTCTCACAGTGGGTGTTGGCATCATTAGCACTGTGTTGTAAAGCTTATCTAATGACTAAGAACCCTTTCTCATTGCGCCAGAAGAGGTACAATGCTAAGTTGCTTATATGCTGACCTGGCTGTCCTTTATCTCTCCTACCTTTTTTGATCCTATGAAGGATCTAGTGATTCTGTGGACCATTTTAGAGATTCCAAAGAACTTTGTCTCATTTTATTCAACTCATGACATTTAGAGGCATAAGAGAGGCAAAAGCAACCATGGCATTAAGTTTTCAGAGCATAGGTTTTGTGGTTACTACTCCACGTTGTGAGTCTCAGATCTCCCATTGTGTAACTTGTAAGACATCACACAGGGCACTGTTTCTCAGGGCCTGGCTTGATGACCTGTGAGATGGCATTTTCTGATAATTTTTTGAGGGTTTATTGAATAAATGTGTGTGCACTAAGAGCTTAGGTGGACTCGTTACCTAAGTTACTCAGGTGTTCCTTACTTTTTTCAGAAATGAAGCACACTATAGGCTTCTTTATCTCAGAAATGGAGAAAAGATGCTGAGAGGCATTTGTAGCTACCATGTTCAGTGTACAGGCTTGATAGGAAGTTCACCCCTGCTTTATCAGACATGTTTCTGGTTATTTTGCTTTTCTTATATCCAGATATATTTGTTCCCAAAAGGAAAGAATGAAATAGATGTTAAAGTTCTTGTGGGAAGTGCAGGGTATGGTTAAAAAGCAAACCACAAGAAACTTGGCCCTCTAGTGATTATTGTGTGCTCTTTAAAAAGGTCTGTTTTCTGAGATATTAGCCCAGAAAGACTTGGCCTTTTAAAAGGCTGAAAGCTGGATTTTGTTTTGTTTTTTGAGGCAGAGTCTCCCTTTGTAGCTCAGGCCGGCCCTAAACTCACTATGTAGCCCAGGCTGGTTTTAAACTCACAGTGATCCTCCTGCCTCAACCTCTGAATGCTAGGATTATAGACAAGTGCCTCCATGCCTGGCTCCATATGTTTGATACTGTTAGGTCTACAAAAAAATGTATATGATGGTTTTAACTAACCTTGAAAAGCCAACTGTTTTCTTAGGGAAGGAAAATATATGGAAAGATAATGAGAAGAGGCAGTCTTATATGCTTGTCCCATGTCTCACAGTGGGTGTTGGCATCATTAGCACTGTGTTGTAAAGCTTATCTAATGACTAAGAACCCTTTCTCATTGCGCCAGAAGAGGTACAATGCTAAGTTGCTTATATGCTGACCTGGCTGTCCTTTATCTCTCCTACCTTTTTTGATCCTATGAAGGATCTAGTGATTCTGTGGACCATTTTAGAGATTCCAAAGAACTTTGTCTCATTTTATTCAACTCATGACATTTAGAGGCATAAGAGAGGCAAAAGCAACCATGGCATTAAGTTTTCAGAGCATAGGTTTTGTGGTTACTACTCCACGTTGTGAGTCTCAGATCTCCCATTGTGTAACTTGTAAGACATCACACAGGGCACTGTTTCTCAGGGCCTGGCTTGATGACCTGTGAGATGGCATTTTCTGATAATTTTTTGAGGGTTTATTGAATAAATGTGTGTGCACTAAGAGCTTAGGTGGACTCGTTACCTAAGTTACTCAGGTGTTCCTTACTTTTTTCAGAAATGAAGCACACTATAGGCTTCTTTATCTCAGAAATGGAGAAAAGATGCTGAGAGGCATTTGTAGCTACCATGTTCAGTGTACAGGCTTGATAGGAAGTTCACCCCTGCTTTATCAGACATGTTTCTGGTTATTTTGCTTTTCTTATATCCAGATATATTTGTTCCCAAAAGGAAAGAATGAAATAGATGTTAAAGTTCTTGTGGGAAGTGCAGGGTATGGTTAAAAAGCAAACCACAAGAAACTTGGCCCTCTAGTGATTATTGTGTGCTCTTTAAAAAGGTCTGTTTTCTGAGATATTAGCCCAGAAAGACTTGGCCTTTTAAAAGGCTGAAAGCTGGTCAAGTAAAAAACAAGTAAAAGTAGAAGGGGATCCACACAGTCTCTCAAGTGTCCATGGTATTTCAGGCCCATGCCAGGTACATGGTTACAACCCAAGGTAGTGCAGTTCCTATTAACTTCAGAGTTGGTGTGCACACCTGATATAAGAAATGATAGCTTGTTCTCAGAGATGTATTGTAAAATTGTGTTGCTGGAGTGTTTTTTTTTTTCATTGTCAGCACAAATCCTT